GGAGTAGCATCACTCTCCACCTGCTGCGATATCCAAATGACCTGATCAACACTCTCCACCTGCCGAGAGTCAAAAGTGACATACCTGCTCAGAACAAAATCAGAAGCTCCCAAACGATAATCAACTGAGCCTCCGAACCCCAAACGCGCAATCGGATCAAATCTCACATCCTCAATGTGACCAAATGCTAGGTACCCAAATATCCGACGCAACCCAAAATCTGAAGCAGCTCCACCAGATCCAATAACTCCTAATGCAGCAGTCGGCGACCTGTGACTAAGATGACCCAAATATGTCGAAGCCCGCACACCAATGCCAATGCTCGACATCAAACGCCGATCCTCCTCCAGAAAGGAACGACCCATCGAAACTGTCATCTCATCTCGTCGCCCCAAAGTCTCCACACCAATGAAGTGTCTCCTATTGCCGTGAGCTCGGCACCAACGCAAGAAAGGACCCCTACCAAAGCTGAAACAATGAGTTACCTTTCTGCCAATACACTTCTTCCAATTGTTGTTGACTTCTAGGACTTTACACCAACGGGAACTGGTCGCGACCCAATAATGCCTAGAACAATCACCAACTGTGGAAACCAAGATACGATTACCTCCCAATGATGCCTCCTTGGAAGGCCCCCAAATGCCTGACTGAACACCTCCTAAAAGACCCCTCGCTCGATGGATAGGAGTGCCAAACTCCACCACGGTCTTGCTCATCCCAATGTGCTCACAGATCTGCAGGTCATAGCACTCCTCAACAACCAATGCACGGTATTACCAATCATATACCCCAGCACCAAACAATGCCACAGTCTAGCCGAATCTGATGAAGTCGTCATTTCCCTATCAATCACCGTGCTTCCGTGCAAATAATACAAATTTCTTCTTCTGACGCCCTTCATCACAATCATGGACCCAAATGTAACCTTCAAGCGTGCATCCGCCAAGGTCACCCTATAGCCAGCTGCCTCCAAAGCTCCAAGTGAAATGATGTTCTTCTTCAACTGAGGAACGAACCTCACTCCAACCAACTCCCGAATCACCCCGTCACTCATCCTGATCCGAACAGTACCGATACCACCAATAGAGCATTTGTGATCATTCCCCATGAGCACGAAATCCCCTCTTTCCAACTCCTGAAAGCTGGAGAACCAATCCCTCCTAGGGCAAATATGGTATGTAGCACCAGAATCCAATATCCACTCTGTAGAGTAGGAAACACAAACTGACGGCAGTGCAGATAACGAGTAGCCCGAAGAATCCGAATCTGAATCGTTGTCACTAGCCTTGACAACATTCGTCTCTGAAGCTTGAATAACTTTTCCCTTATTCTTTCCGGCTCGATCAACTAACTTTGGGCAATCGGCTTTCCAATGTCCATCTTCTTTGCAAAAGGCACACTGATTCTTACGAACTCCAAGATGTGCCCCTCTAGACTGCGACCTCCCACTACGGTTTGGACCCTTTGCTCTTGCGACCAACGCCCCCGCTACCGGCTCAATCGAAGTCTCCTTATCCTTCTTTCGAAGCTGATAATTCACAAGTGCAGCGGTGACCTCACTATACGAAAGAGATGCCTTCCCATTAATAAGAGTAAGAACGAATGTCTCATATTCCTCGTCGGGCAAGGAACTCAACAACAACAACGCCTTGTCCTCATCTTCAATCACCACATCTACATTCGTCAAATCCGCAAGAAGCTTCGTGTAGTGGTTCATGTGATCACCAATGGAGGTTCCTTTCTTCAACTGGAAGCGGTAAAGCCTCCTCTTCAAATGCAAGCGATTCTCCACACTCTTGGTCAAATACTTGCTCTCAAGGATCTCCCAAATCTTCTTTGCAGAAGTCTCATTGATCACATCATACTTTAGATCTTGAGTGAGACAAGACCTAATCACACCACACGCCGTTCGATTCATCTTTTTCCAAACCTTTTCATCAATATTATCCGGTTTCCCGACCAACTCCAATGTATCTTCCAAATTTTGCGCGTTGAGCGCATCCATGACTTCGCATCGCCAAAGTCCAAAATTGTTTGTGCCATTGAACTTTTCCACATCAATCTTCATTGAGTGGATATTCAAGCTTTGGACGGTCTTCACGCCGGAAGTACTGCCCACAACTCCTTCTTTCTCGGCCATAATCCTCAAGGCACCACCAAACCAATGCGGAAACAAACGAGAAATAGATCCAAACTGAAAAAGACGAGATTTTTACCAAAAAGATCCCACCTTTATCACCAAACGAAGCCCTAGATGAACTTCCAAAGCGATCTACTCCTCCAAATAGCCCAAGCGTAACCTGGCTCTGATACCACTTGTTGTGCACGGCGCGGAAGCCAAACAAACAACCAACTATGATGCTTTGAGAAACCAAACCAACAAACGCCGAGAGAAAGACCAAACAAAACACAAACACCAAAGTTTTACGTGGTTCGGCAATTGCCTACGTCCATGGGGCAAGAAGGGGGGTGGGTTTTCACTAATAGAGAAGGAGAGTACAAATTGAGATTACAAATCGCTCAAACGAACCAACTAATCTCACCAACAAATCTCTCAAACTCTCAACCAATAACCCTAAAAAATAGCTCAGAAAGATCTCTCTTTTCTGTGCTCCAAAATCCCCAGATTTGCTCCTCCAAAACCCTCAAATCGTATTGGTATTTATACCAAAACAGAAACCCAAACAGACTGCAAATAGGAACTCTAACTTTCCAAAAAACCCGTCATAAGTCGACTTAACAGTCTGCATAAGTCGACTTGGCAGAGCGAAAAACAACAACTGGAGAACAGATCGTAAGTCGACTTATCAGACCTGATAAGTCGACTTGGCAGAGCAAAAAACCAACAATCCAGAGCAGAACGTAAGTCGACTTAACAGTCTGTATAAGTCGACTTACCATAAGTCGACTTGTGCCTGTGCATGAGTCGACTTATGACACAGTATCTGCAAAAACCTGAATTTTCCAAATTTCTCCACATCATGCTCTCTACATGCTTAGTAATTTTTTACATACATGTCTTCCGTTGTGTATTATGCATGTAGACATAGCATGATTTCCTTCACATAACAACTCTGATGTAGTACTTGATGCACTTGAACCGCATTCTCATCTGAAAGAGCTAGAGATCTTAAACTATGGGAGGCACAACATCCCCAAGTTGGCTGAACAAGGAATCACATCAGAATCTGCAGTCTCTTCATCTTAGTAACTGTAGAAATTGGCAGTATCTCGCATCCATTGCACATTTCTGCTTCCTTAATTAAGGTTCTATGTATAGTACATATGAACATAGTAATCAGGTATGAAGAAAATATCTTATTTCCATCATTGGAGGAGATAGTTTTAGAGAAAGCATCGGTATTATATGAGAATGCCTCTGATAGGAAAACAAACAATTTCTTTCGCCGCCTTCGAAAGATATACATCAAAGAATGCCCCATCAACATGGAATTTCCTCCTTCATATTTCAACTCATCGCTATTAGATCTTACAGTAGATTCTGCTGGCTCTGAGCTTATTGAGTGTCTTGAGGACGTACTTCACCTCTCTCATCTCCCTAAAGATTTTACATTGTCATTACTTATCTTCACTCCCAGAGGAATCAATCTGTATCCTGAAAGCACTAGAGTGCATACACATTGTTAACTGTAGAGCATTGAGTTCAATAGGAGTTTTGGAGTCTCTTGCCTCATTGGAAGAGTTGGAAATTGTGAGATGTCCCAACATCAAGCTTTCATCTTCATTGTGCAAACAGAATTTGGCGTGTCATCTCTGACTCATCCTAGCATTGGTCACTGTTCTTTGCTTACTGGACCGATTTTGAACAAAAAGCACATATCCCTCAAAACTTTGACGCTTTCTAGTCTCGATCTTATCAAGTTCACTGAGGATCAAGATTGCTGGTTTCAGCACCTCAGCTCTCTCCAGCAGCTAAGCTTTATTGACTGCAAGTCAGTATAGTCTCTCCCTTCTGAACTGAAAAGCCTTTCATGACTCGGACAACTTCACATATCTTAACGTCCAAGGATCCAGTCTCTACCAGGGAAAGGACTTCCTGCGGAGCTGGAAGAGCTGTACATTAGTGGCTGCAATGTTCTGGAGGAACGCCGCAAGAAGAAGGTGGGCGCTGATTGGCGCAAGATCAAACTAATTTCCTTCGATAAATATAAGGAGCTGAAAAGCTTTCGGTAAGCATACAATCATCTATGACAAGCTCCATTATTTCGTATACTCAAATAAGTTTTGTAGTGTACCAGATTGAAAACAGCACAAGCTTAAGAGTTCTCATCCTGCATCATTTTCTTGCTTCTGGATCATTTTTCAATGCATGAATGGCAATCCATGGAACTTACATGCCTTTGATTGAAGTACCGAATTTTGGCTACTTTACTGAGATGAAGTTCTGTTGAAATCAAATTACGTGTCAGTCTGCTTTGTGCAAATCTGAAACTGAGAGCATGAAACAAACGTAGCTACCAACTTTTGACAGTAAAAAAAAAAAGAAAAAAAAAAAGGCAAACACTTACCAGGACATACAATCCGACAACTGATGTTTGCTGTATCAACTTTGTGACATGTTCAGTTTACCGTCTTCATCATGCCAAAGTTACAGCTGTTACATCAGAAATTTATTTTTGTTGTCTTCATGAAACGTACGCGTTCGTCAAAGCTTGAATGCACGGCACCTGTGAAGGAGGAATACTGCTCCATCCTCGACGGCCTACTCTTGTCTACGTTACATCTTGCAATAGAAAGTTCTTCATCTGTTAAAGATTATGTCGCATCTCTAGCGCGTAAGTTTGAGATAATTGGTTAAAAATGAAATGAACGCTTACTGTTTCAATTCTAAGAAATATAGTTACATAATTAATTCATTAATACAATCGTAAATAGCTAAAAAAAACTTGAGGTAAATATGTGAGTACTGAGAATTGGGTCAGTTTCGGGTTTACATCAAAGCGGGTTTGGATCCGAAAGCTGGTTACAGGACATAAAATGTTTTCCATAATTAGTTGGGGGGAAAAACACAACTTTTCAATCTCCAGATTTGTTGATTCTAGCTAACTGGTGAGTGCTCTCTCACCCTCATTTCGATTTGGGTTTTTCTCATTCTCATTAGATTTCTGATTTTTTATGTTCATATTTTTCTCATTCTCATTAGATTTCTGATTTTTTATGTTCATAATGTTGTTGAGCAATCTCAATTCACTCCCTGAAGCATAAAAATCCTGATTTCTGATTTTTTATGTTCATAATGTTGTTGAGCAATCTCAATTCACTCCCTGAAGCATAAAAATCCTGTCTTTTGGGCGTGTCTAGTGATTTTGATTACGCCAACTAGAAATGGGACTCCCCTTGAATTGGGTGCTTTCATTGTTCAGAGAAATTTAGGTTTTTTCTTAGCATTTGGCATTCACTTTATAGAGATTTTTAATTGAGGATCTTTAGGGATTCAGTTGTTTGAAATGAAAATTTCAATCTTTTAGCCCTACGTTTTCTGTAATCTGCGTTGGAATTACAGTTGTTTATATTATACTTCCGGGGTCTAGCTAAGAAACTGAGTTCTTCTTTTGCAAAATATTGATTCTACGCTCAAAACTTTTGAATCTTGCAGTATTTCAACTGATTTTTTAGTGCCATTCTCATGGAGATTCACCTCAAGAATCTCTTTACAAGGTTCCAAGACCAGTTTGGATCTGGACCCGGGCTCGGCCCAAGCTCAGGGACTTGCCTTCTCAGCGTCGAAGGCATTTCCCCGGCCTTCATCAGATCCGTCTTCAGTGCCTCTGCTGCCCTCTACCGAACTGATCCATGGAAAAGACTCCGGCCATCTCATCTCTTCGCCATTAGAATAGGTAAAGACTCCGACTGGTCATTGAAGAAACAATTATACCCCATAGCTCAATTCGTCGGTGGAGAAGGCGGTGATCTTGGTATACATATGTTCAAGTCTGAACTTGATGCTCAGAAGACAACTGGATTAAGAGAAACCAATAGAGTACCCAATGTGGAGATACTAAGAGTAGTATTCACGCCACAATCTCTTATCTTTCCTTCGAATAAGAGAATGATTCGCTCTCTATCGTTGGAATCCTCTGCCGTAGATCAATACCCGATTGTTGATGTTGCTCGATTCAGCTCTGGTGGAGAATTGAGATTTAGAAACCCTACGTCTGAGGAGGTTCGATATGTTTATGCATTTCTAAAGGCAATAGCTCTTGTTCATCCATTGCTTCAAGTGGGTAATAATGGTTTGCAGAGAAGAGGAAGATTGGTTAGTTTTGAGCCTTTTATTGAAACCGTTGATGTGCAATGGCCGTTTGAGGTTTCTAAGGCTGGAGAGCTTGTTGCGGTTACAATTTCACATCCACCCGGTGAGGTTTATGAAGAGAAGAAGCGAGCGAGGACTCCAAGCCCAAGCAAATACATGGAGCCACCAACAGAAGAACTTTCGTTAATGGATATAAGATCTAATATTTGGACAATTTTGAGGAAGTGTTCTATGTGTGAAAAGGAGGTTAACAATGATCAATCTTTATGTTGTGGACATTGTCGTGCTGTGATTTACTGTGGTTCTATTTGCCAGAGGCAACATTGGAAGGAAGAACATAAGAGTGTTTGTGGCCTTTACAAAGCCATGATGGAGAGAGAGGAAGAACTCACTATGTCAATATTTAACTTCCCTTGCTTCCTCGAGCATTTCTGCCAATGGCTTGAATCCGTCGGCCTTCATCAAAAGGGTATGTGGAGGAGGAAGTGCAGTTGCTATTCTCAATACCCTTTCGGCCTTCTCCCTCAAAATTCCAGGGTTTCAGACTCATGGGGAGGTTTAAAAGATGGAGAGTATCCACCTGATGCTCCATTTCTCAACTATCATGATCGAATATCTAATCCTATACTGCTCTCAGGTTGGTCTGAGTACTATAATATTCGATCCCTTCAATTCTCAAGCCCGGTTGCAGTTCTATTATCTTACCCCTTGACAATTTATCACATACTAACTTCACTTATAAGTTCAAAGAACCGTCTAGTTAAAGGCAAAGAGGTGATTGTTCACTACATTGGGCCCGAGGGGGAATTAGACTTGATGCCTGCATTTGCTGAGATGGGTCACCTGCTTAATGGATCGGGCAGCATTCAGATTGTCATGATTGGTCCAGAAGTACCCAGTAATTTATCCAGTACTGTCTCTGGAGTTGGAGGTCGAGTGAGGGTGAACTTGGTGAGAGGGTTATATCAAGATCAAGCATCTAACCTCTCTACTCCTCATGTTGTGGTTGCTTTGAATTGTGCTTTGGAGAGCTATGGAAGCTGGGGAGGAGCTCTTGAGGTGATTAAATTGACAGGAGTGCCTGCGTTCTTTACTGAGCGGTCTGAGAGATTGTGCACAAATGGTAAGCAGGTTTTGAGAGGGGCGGGGCTGCACATTTCGCATCCTGTGATGCCAAATCCATTCAGATCACCAGTGCGGGACCAGGCACCTTCGAGTAATCTTCCTTGTTATAGCAATGGCTTTGTTTTTGGTGTGAACACTTGAGTAGTGACTCGGTGCGCTTCCCCTTGGCTTTGAAGCATCTATCAAGAAAGTAAGTAGATGTCTTATACTGCTACTTAATTGTTGTGTCTCTGATTGTTATGATTCTATTGAATGTTGGAATGTGCATAAACATATATATTCTTGTTCAAATACTTTATGATGTCTGATATCTTTCTCTATTTTCTGTTTTATTCTGCTAAGATGGTTAAAAAAAGACATTGATTCAAGGTTTTCATGATATATAGAGAGAGGCTTCACGCAAATGTTCTATGATTTGCTTTTATATTTAGAGTTTATGGTCATAATCATGGGACTCGAGCCTAAGAAGAATAGAAAACTTGCAAACGTCTTGTTTTATTTGTCAATGTGCTGACATGTAGAAAGACTCGTGTAATGGCCATTGGTTATAGGGAGAGAAGGGCAAAAGGAAAGAAGGCTGAGTTTGGTAAAGGGTATTAGGGCCTAAACATATTAGATTGCTTAAGTATTTGATTCCTAGTATGAGAGTTTAATAAGGTTATACATTTGGGTGTTTACTTCCTTGTTCAGCTACTTACTGGTTTCGGACGCAAGAGTTGCAAATTTTTTGGCGTACTTTAGAATTCACAATTGTCATGGGCTATAACCTACGAATTTTATCTATTTCTATCCGCTTCAACCCAATGTCAATTAATTATGTGTACGTCAAAATTCAAAAATTTCATGAGTTATAACCAAGAATTTTGTACAACAGATCTTTTCTCGCCAAAGGAAATTATATTTTCAATTTAAAAAAATTCGTGATTTTCATGGAATAAAATACATGATTTTTGTCCATTTTTGTTAGTATTGACCTAATTGCAATTACTTAGGCTTACTTCAAAATTCCCAATTTTCATGGGTAATAAGCCTCGATTTTTGTTCATTTCGTCTGTTTCAACCAAATGATCATTAAGTTTTCTTTCTTAAAAACTCGTGATTTTGTGAGCTATAACCCGTGATTTCTGTCTATTTTCATTTATTTTGACCTAATGAAAATTATTTGGCATACCTCAAAATTCGCAATTTTAATGGGTTAATTATGATATTTGTCCATTTCATCTACCTTGACGTAATGACAATTAAACTTTCTTTCTTTAAAATTTTTGAATTTTATGGATTATAACTCATGATTTGTCCATTTTCATCTGGTTCTACCTAATGACAATTATGTTTTCTTTTGTCAAAACCTGCGATTTTTGTAGGCTTACCCATGATTTATGTCCATTTTCGTTTGTTTCCACTAATTGGAAAAATTTTCATGTACTCGAAATTTACATTTTTACGGGCTATAACCACTGATTTTTATCAATTTTCATTTGTTTTGTCCAAATAGTAATTAAGTTATCTTCCTATAATATTCGTTGTTTCATTGGCTATAACCCACGATGTCTGTTTATTTTTCGTTCGTATTGACCTAATGGAAATTATTTGGTTCACTTCAAAATTTGTAATTTTCTTGGGCATACCCACGATCTTTGTCCATTTTCATCCATTTCAGCCTTATGGTGTTTAAAATTTTCTCTCTTTAAAGGTCAAGATTTTCATGAATGATAATCCATTATTTTGTTCATTTTGGTTTGTTTTGATCTAGTGACAGTTATGTTTTCTTTCGTCAAAACTTGTAATATTCACGGGCTATAACTCTGATTTCTGTTGTTTTTGTTAGTTCAGACCTATTTGAAGTTTTTTGTTGTACTTCAAAATTTGCAATTTTACTAGGCTAAAACCTATGTTTTCCCCATTTTCCTTTGTTTCAACCCAACATCAACTAATTATGCATAGTTCAAACTTCGTGATTTTTATGGGTTCTAACACATAATTTCTGTCCATTTTTGTTTGTTTTGACCTTGTGGAAATTATTTGGCGTACTTTAATGTTTGTAATTTTTATGGACTATAACCCACATTTTCGTCCATTTTGACCTAATAACAATTAATTTTTTTTCTTTAAAATTCACAATTTTAATGGCCTACAACCCACTACTTTTTCCATTTTTGTTCATTTAGATCCAATGGTAGTTATGTTTTCTTTTGTCAAAACTTGCGGTTTTCATGGCCTATAAACAATGGCTTTTTCCATTTTTCGTTTGTTTCAATCTAATGGAATTTTTTAGTGTACATTGAAATTTACAATTTTCATGAGTATAACCCACAAGTTTGTCCATTTTTGTCCACTTCTATCCAATAGCAATTGATTACGCATACGTCAAAATTCGTGATTCTTATGGGTAATAACCCGGGAATTTTGTGCAATAGTTCGTTTCACCACAATGGCATTAAGTTTACTATCTACAAAATTTGTGATTTTTATGGGCTAAAGCGCATGATTTTTATCCATTTTGTTAGTTTTGACCTAATTGCAAATTTGCAATTAAGAAAGCTTACTTCAAAAATTCATAGTTTTCATGAATTGCAATCATAAGCATAACTAATTGTTATTGGATCGAAATGAATGAAAAGGAACAAAAATTATGTTGCCCATGAAAACTGCAAATTTCGAATTACCTTAAAAATTTTCTATTAGGTCAAAATAAACGAAAGTGGATAGAAATCATGGGTTATATAGCCCATGAAAATTGCGAATCTTGACGAAAGAAAACATCCTAAGTAAGCCTATTTTTGTTTATTTTTGTTCATGTTAATCCATTAGGTATTATGTTTTCTTTTGTCAAAACTTGTGATATTTATGGACTATTACCCATGATTTTTGTTTATTTGCGTTGGTTTAGACCTATTTGAAGTATTTTGGCATACTTTTGAAATTCACAATTTTGATGAGCTCTAACCCATAATTTTGGTCCATTTTTGCCTGTTTCAATCCAACAGCAACTAATTATGCGTAGTTCAAATTCTTTGTTTTCATAGGTATAGCACGCAATTTCTGTCCATTTTTGTTTGTTTCGACCTAATAAAAATTATTTGGCATTTTGAAATTCGTAATTTTAATGAATTATAGCTCATGTTTTTTGTCGAATATCTTTCGTTTCGTCTCAATGGTATTAAGTTATCTTCCTTCAATAAGAATTTTCATGGGCTATAACACAAAAATTTTGTTCATTTTCGTTCTCATTGACCTAATAGCAACTAAAATTTTCTTTCTTTAAAATTTACGATTTTCATTGATGATAACTCATTATTTTTGTTCATATTCATTTGTTTCGATCTTATGGCAATTATGTTTTTCTTTTGTAAAAAATCGTGATATTCATTGGTTATAACCTATGATTTCTATCCATTTTCATTGGTTCAAACCTATATGAAGTTTTATAGCGCACTTTGAAACTCGCAATTTTCATGAGCTACCCACAATTTTTATCATTTCTTCTATTTCAACCCAGTAACTAATTATTCGCTCAAAATTCGCGGATTTCATGAGTTATAACACAATTTTTGTCCATTTTCGTTTGTTTCGGCCTATTGTAAGATATTTGGGGTACTTCAAAGTTCGTAATTTTTCATTGGCTAGAACCCATTAGTTTATTTCCATCCATTTTGACCTGGTGACAATTAAATGTTTTTCCTACAAGTCATAACTTTAATGCACTACGACGAATTATATTTGCCCGTGTTTGCTTGTTACGATCCAATAACAACTATGTTTTCTTTCGTTAAGATTCACAATTTTCAAGGCCCATAACATATGATTTCTATCCATTTTCGCTTGTTTCGACCTAATAGAAATTTTTTGACATACTTCGAAATTTTACAATTTTCGTGGGCTATATATAATCCACGATTTTGAGCATTTTTCCATCTGTTTCGACCAATAGCAATTTTAATTATGCGTACGTCATAATTCATGATTCTCGTAGGTTATAACCGACAAATTTTGTGCAATAGTTCGTTTCACCCTAATGGAAATTAAGTTTTCAGTCTACTAGATTTTTGCTTTTCATGGGCTTAAGCACATGATTTTTATCCATTTTTGTTGGTTTTGACCTAAGTGCACTTAATTAGGCGTACTTTAAAATTCATAATTTTTAAGGGTTTTAACCCACAATATTTTTTCATTTTTGACCATTTCAACAAAATAACAATTAATTATGTGAACTTCAAAGTACATGGAGATAAGCTCTTTTTTAACCATTTTTTACGGTCCTGTAGTCCTGTAGTACACCTGGGTTATCACCCAATAATTTTGTGCAAAAGTTCATTTCACCCCGAAATGGAAATTAAGTTTTCTATCTACAAAATTTGAGATTTTTATGGGATAAAGCACATGACTACTATCAATTTTGTTAGTTTTGACCTAATTGCAATTAATTAATGCAAATTAAGTGTACTTCAAATTTCACATCTTTCATGGGCTAACGATATTTTTCCAATTTTGACCATTTGGACAAAAGAGTAATTAATTATGCAAACTTCAAAATACATGGAGATTAAGTTTTTATTATTATTATAATTACCATTTTTGACCATCTCTGACTGATTGTCACGATTGGTCCAGAAGTACCCAGTAACTTATCCGGTACTGTCTCTGGCATTAGAGGTTGAGCCTAGGCTATTTTGGTAAGTGATTTATATCAAGAGCAAGCATCTAATCTCTGTAATCCTCGTGTCGTGATTGGTTTGAATTATTATTTGGAAAGCCATGGAAGTCGGGGAGGAGCTCTGAAGGTAATCAAATCTACAGGATTGCCTGCATTCTTTACTGATTGATATGAGATAGTGTACAAATGATGAGCAGGTATCGAGAGTGGCTGGGCCGCATATTTCGCATCCTGTAATGCCAAGTCCTCTTAAGATCGCGTGAGAGTTTCAGGCTTCTTCGAGTGATCTGCCTGGTTATAGCAATGGATTTGTTTCCGGTGTCAATACTTGAGTCGTGGTGACTCGGTGAGCTTTCTGCAGGATTTGAAGCATCTATCAAGAAAGTAAGTAGATGTTTTATGCTGCTGGCCGTATATATAGTTGTTATTGTGCTTGTTATTGCATGTTGGAATGTGCACGACTATGTACATTCTGGTGCAAGTATTTTATGATGTCTGAGATCTTTCTCCGTTTTCTGTTTAGTTTGATCCTTGGCGCTTATAACATACATTTTGGTTCGAAGTTTTTCATGATGAGAGTAATCAAGTGTGATGGATAGAGCAGGCTCTGTCTGATTTGTTCTGTTTGCTTTTTTTTTATTTAGAATTTACTGCTATAATGCACGTGCTTTGCACGTGGTGTCTTATATTAATATTATGAACTTGTTTCGTGAACTACAAAACAAAGGCTTGGAATATACTAAAAAATAAAGATTTAAAACTAATTAGAGATACATAATATCCCCTCTATTACGTATTATTTGTCAGTTGCGTCAATTTGAAGCAATTTCTAAATGTTGTAGCTCTAATTTGTATTCAAATAGATGAGCTTGCTCGATGATTGCAGCGAACAAGATAATAATATTGTACAATTTTAGGTTATTGTTATCTTAGATCCAACATAAACTCGACATGTACAACCACTGAATTATAAACATTTTATGGAAGAATTATAAATGCTTGAATCACAACATGTTACATATCGGTTGGGGTACAAATAGAGAAGCTTGGCCGATCCTGAACCCTCATAATAACGATCTAATATTCCTTCTTAAAACAATGTGTACCAGGCGCTTGATGTCTAGACCTCTCATCTTCTACTCTTCCACTATTTTCGGAGTTTCTATAAAATCTAAGCTAGTGTAAACGTCTCTCAATGTGTATGAGCCCCATCGAAACTATAGAGGGTGTGAATCACCATCACCTTTTAAAACATTGCATAAGAGCACTTAATATTAAAAAAAATCTTATTGGACCCTCAATTGGAAGCCAAGTTGACTTGTTAGTAGCATGAAAAAGAGTTGCTACCGTTAGTGTTGTGGGTCCATATTTCGGCCTTGACAACATAGCACTTGAGATCATTGAGCACTACTCGGAGTACTTCGGATAGAAGCATGGGTCTGTTAGTGGTCAATGCCCATGAGCTCAAGTACAGTCTTTGTATAACAAAACACCGACATCAATTTCTTTTAATGGAGGAAAAGAATATGTATTTTCTCAATGGACTGACATCAAAGTAAAATTACAAATAATAATAAGATGTGATTGTATATATAAGCATATAAAAACTGAGGCTATGGAGGATCATAAGGGTTTCTCTCTCCTCTTTTATTGACTTGGTGGAGATTGTATCGCATCATTGTATATAAGAGAATCCTCTCATAGGATATATAATACCCATTATTCTCATAGAGGACATTGCTTTAGAGCACCAAGGAAAAAAGAATTTATAAGTATGAGATGGACATTATTTAAATCTATCAGTATGTTCGTAATTCAATTGAGGAATAAGGTTGCAGATATTATTTGTTAAAATATGTACATAAGTGATATGAGCTAGCTAGTTTGCATATATAATATTTAAATTTCAAGAGGGGAGTAGCTTACTGTTTGTATACATGATATATGATCTCTTTATCCAAATTTTGTTTCCATCTCTATCTATGACATTATACAGTAAAAAGTCATATTTAGCTACAATTCTTAACATGAACTTGTATTCGTGCGTGTGCTTTAGTTCTAGGCTATAGGCTTACCTCTTACCGCTTACCTCCATGTACCAACCGTCATCTGAAGATATATAGGCTTTGATTATGATCAGGTTTAAGCCAGTGAAGATTTGGATAATGAACTTCTAAGAGTGTCATGTTTGTTCACACTATTCACCTAAGAGAAAAAAATTTGTAAATATCAACATTTAGGCAACTAAATAGTAAATTGAGTACAAATCAGAAACTTGGATAAAAAAATTTCCAAATTACTATCACATTATCACAATAATGAGAATAGCACGTACAATTAATTGCAGGCCTCATGTTTTGTATGTCAATGTGCTGAAACGTATGGAAGGACCTGTGTTATGCAACGGCTGTGTATTTGGCCATGCTGAGCGAAGGGCATAATGAAAGGATGCTGGGCTTGGTGGACGATTTCGACGGTGTGTTATTCGTAGAGCGAGAGTTTTGTATCCAGGACCGAATTCAGGCTTCAGCCTCGCGATCGATCCTCGTGGCTTGACGAGGTTCACCCTCTTGTTTTCTTGCTCGACCGCTTGATTGGTTTAGGAGCGGTGTGCTTTTGACCCGAAAGTAGAATAGTTGTAATTTGTAAATTTATAGACGCTATCATATATAAAATGTATACTTTCTAGCTAATAACTTATGCCTCGAGCTTGGCTTATTTGTGCAATGAAAAATTCCCCCATGGTCCAAAATATGGGACAAACAGAGAGGACATGTGAGGTGTCTCCCTCCTATTGTATAATAAGCTGATCATCATTAATGATGGTTATTTTATTATGCAATAGGAGGGGGACACATCACTTGTCCTCTATATTAGTCTCATATTTTGGGTCCCTGTAGCAAAGTCCTTGTGCAATTATTCCTTTTTCTCCTCTAATTTGGGTGGTGAGTCTTGCACCGCATCCCCCCCGCGAAAGCTATGTCCACGTGATGTCCTCCCTTCCCACCGAAAAATATCTCCCTCTCCTTGAATCCCACCACCATCCTTTTAAAAATACTAAACCAGTTAACAAATAAAGTCCCCATCATTCCCAAAAAGCCAACACTTGTGGTTGGCTCATTAAATACCCCCATATAGATTCCCCAACCCAGTAACCCTTTCACTGTTTTAATCCAAAAAAAAAAAAAAACCAATTACCATGGAGCTCTACCCTCCGACCTACGGCAGCCCTCCCTACCCCTTCCTCCTCCCTCCATCCTACCTCTACTCCCCCCCTCAAAACTATGTTCGTTGGAACCAAACACCAGAGGCTCACATCTATACCGCTGATCTCCCAGGTATGTATATATATATATTTCTCGGTTCTCATCACAACTTCGGAGTTTTAAGTTTTCGCCGCAGAGGTTCTCTCTGCGGACGACACAGGATTAATTTGCATGGTGATGTACCTTTTAATCAATAACGATTATCTCCGTATGCATTCAATACAACGGTTTACTATTTATATTCTATTCTATTAGCACGTGTACGTGTGGTGATGGTCAGAGTTAGATATTTGCCAAGAATATTTCAATGATTATGATTATTATTTTCGTTGTTACCGCTAGGAGTGAGGAAGGAAGAGATTAGGGTGGAGGTAGAGGATGGAAGGTACTTAGTGATCAGAACGGAACTCGACGGCGACGACGACGACGACGACGAAGAAATGGAGGTGGAGGAGAGGAGGAGGAGGAGGAGGAGGAGGTTCATGAGGAAGTTCCGGCTGCCGGAGAACGGTGGACGTGGAGAGGATATCGGCGCGGGTCACGAAGGACGAAGTTCTGACCGTCAGAGCGCCGAGGAGGGCTGCTGCGGTTCCGGACGGGCCGAGGGTGGAGGACGTTAGTCATCGGCGGGCCGGTGCAGGAGAGGATTCAGTAGCTGCGTGCTGCTTGATGGAAATGGCGTGGTTAGTTAATGATCTGGTTCAGGTTTGTTGTTGTAGCGTGCTAGCAATTATTAGTCTGCTTGTATTGTGTTAGTAATTTGAGATTATGTGAGATGTTAACTGTTAATGTTAGAACTGGGAGTTCTCTATGTTTGAAGAAGAATCTTTGGAGCAAGTGGAAGATATTTGTGAGGCGGGGGTAGAATCTAAGGGGAATCTTGGGAAATGTTTTTTTGTTTTTTTAAGTTTTGATGTCAGAAATGTCGTCTGGATAAAAGTAAGAAGAGGACTACAATTTTTCTTTTGCTTCTATTAATTTTTTTGGGATCAGGTTCATCTATGGATTGAGGCCAACAATGCAAATCTTAAGAGACACCATTTTTTTTCTCTGACTTTTTTTTGGGGTTAATTGCGAATAGGCTCTCGTTAGTATCATTCAATTGGCTCAAATGTGAATTAACCACCGTAATGAAATTTTTCGACTCTTTTAAAAGTGAAAAAAAGGAGCAACTTTTTTGACTAATTTAAAAGTAAAAAAAAACGGACTTCCATCCTCACCGGTGAAATTGTTATATATATATATCATTTAAAAAAATGTTCACTTAGTGGTCTGTTTGCTAAAAACAAAAGTACAGGGGATCTACATGTAATAAATAGAATTGTTATGTATATCATCAAAAAAGAAAAAAATAGTTCACTTAGTAGCCTGTTTGCTAAAATTAGAACTATAGAAGTCTATTCGCAATTGGGTGATACTATATTTTTCTTTATTTTATTTATTTATTTTAGGTGGCGTTGGTTCTCAATTAATATTTTTTCAGATGGTACTCACTCGATTTGAGTGTGAAAACGTCACGCAAAATATCGTATGCATAGCCAGCAGCAATAAATCTCCCCTGGGACTCCACTCTGCTTGGTAAAGCAGCTCAATGTGAAGAAAAATACATTCAAACAGCAAAGTTTATCTAATCAAAGCAAACGCAAAAATTCGGAACATAATCAGGTGCTGCAACAGAGAGAATCAAAAAACTTATTTTTTTTTTTAAGGATAGGTGACGAAGCGACACTTCATTAGTTTGCAAGACAACTCAAAACCACAATAAAAGACTCGATGGCTTTACTCATAAGAGGTTCATGTTCCTCATTTAGGAACAATTACGGTAGAGAAAATGCATTTTTGCTACATTTTTCATGATATATATAACAATCTAACAACCACTTCCAAGGTACAGGAGACCAAACTGGACTTTATTTAGGCTTATGCCCTCGTTGCCTCCATAACCTTTCCCAAGCTTGCGCTTCATTTCACACCAAAATCTAAAACTCATTAAGAACATGACAGCCGAAAGAAATCCAGTAGGACATATATGTTCATATGTACTACACCCCCAGAAACCCCCGAACCAAGATAGGCTTGTTCACATACCTTCTTTGTCGCAGAGATCTAGCAGTGATAAAGTCTGAACATAAAGAAAACAAGAAGCGTATTATTAGCATTTGTATGACTAAACCTGTAATCTACCATGCATTGTTGGTCAAATCAGTAACAAATGTTGATCTGTGTCAATGCACAATACACTAGAGCACTGAGCACGAAGAATAGAGCATGACAAGCATAAAGATGAAGAGAACAAAGAGAAACCCCATCTGAAATTTTTTTAAGGAAACACATCTCGCTTTGTCCAAGAATGCTGGAAACAGCATAATGAGAGGCGACAATGACAGAAATATGTGATTCAGGTGTTTGATGTTCTCAGAACAATCTTGCAATTTTGGAATTATCATTTGAAGACAGAAATATGTGATTCAGGTGTTTGATGTTCTCAGAACAATCTTGCAATTTTGGAATTATCATTTGAAGATGATTAAAGTCTCACTGCTCCGTTAGTGGAATCTGTGCGATTGTATAGAATTTTAACATCTCACTCTACAAAAGTAAATACGAAACATGCGAAATAAATCAGCCTAGGACAGTAATGCAGCAGTTGAGCATGCATCTAAATCCAAAATTATGGATTCAGTGAGGTGTTGGTGATATGGCAATAAAGAGCAAATAAGAATACTAGATAAATGTCAGAAATGCTGGGAGTTCCCAACTATATTCTCAGTCATACCTGCAAGTAAATAGACGAAAATTTCAATGAGGTTCACTAGTTTCAGGTTTTCTAATGTTGAAGTGGGAACAGATACAATGTTAGGCAACGTAAGCATTTTTTTCCTTCCAGGTATTCAGAATATTGCATACAGAGAAAAACTTCATTTATTATCAAGAGAAGAGATCAACATTGTTTCAGTAAAATATTCAACAGCCAACATTATTGGTAAATGATATCTTTCAATAAAATTTTTACATTATGTTCAATATCAAGACAATGACCTCACTTTTCTTTTCAGAGTAACTGTTACAGAGCTTAATTTATATAAAAAAAAAAAGATTCCCCACTTTTATGCATATGCTATGGCAAAATAGAGATGCAAAAGAGTGAAAAACAAATAATATGAATAATTAAGAACAAATATAGGCACATGATACCTCAGCAATGGAGAGTTCAAGACGAAATTTAGGGCCATCGTAGTGATGCAAAACTGGCCTAAAAGCATCCTCTTCCAGAGGCTTGCAAAGCTTTTTAACACGGATTCTCACCTAAGATGTAGGCCGAGTAAAAAACTGAGAATACACCAGGCAATTAGGAGAGTTACTAAAATTTATGTTTATAAGCCCTACTATAATACCTGTGCAGGAAACCTTGACTCGCCTTTGCATTTTTTGTCCTCCCAAGCTGTTGGATCGATGTTAGAACCCCCAAAACTAGCCGCCTGAAAGGAACAATAGCAAGGTTAAAAAGCTTTGGAAGTGGATGGAAAGGAAGAAAATCTTGGCTGAGTAGGCATTGATATAGACAGAATGGTTTTGATATGAATGGTTTATTACAGAGTGGTAAGTGTACACGATATTGGTCCAATACAGTATTAAATACAAAATAAAATAGAGATTCTGGAGAAGTATAGCAACCTCAAATATCCCATGAAGCTGATGAGTTGTATAGTTGTAAAGGAAAAGAGGTAATCCTGGAGTAATTGCGCGCACAGAATCACGATATCGAGGAGGCAGGCCTGAAAAACAAGAACATATGTACATTGCAAATTATTATGCTACTTCAAATCTAACAGATTAAGCACGATCATAAAGATGACTAAGTACTAACACTTTCAGCATAAATGAAACACTGGAAACAACCAGCAAAAAACAAAGAGAGAACAGAACTACTACCAAATATAGCCCTATCCCTACTATGTAGGGCTTTTAGCCTAGATTAATATACAATCAGTTAAAGGGAGGCAAATCTAGCAAGGAAGTTGAGAGTTTTTTCCTCTCTTTTTTTCATATCTTCTCTACGCATCCCACCGCATTGCATGAAAAGGCTGTTAATGCTTCTCAACTACAGAGGTGTGCAAGAAGTACAAAATCAGCAATTCTACTAACAAGATGTACCTTGTGAAAAGACAGTGAAGTATTCAAGACAACAAAGAAAGGATTAATGTTATTTATTAGAAGTAGACTACTGAGGCAATGGATACATCCAAAAATGGAAAAAGGGTGCAGCTTAAATAATGAATGCAGCTGTATAAGCAGTGACAAAATACAAATAACATCAGAAATATCACGTAGCAAAGCCAATTATTACTTTCTACATTTGAGGAAAGAATATCAAACCTGTTGTGACAAACATTTCAGCATACCAATTAGTAATTACTAATTATAATAGTCAACTCAATAGCTTGAAACTGGTCGATATTTCTACAGCCTACAACATTCCATGCACACACAATATGAACATGAATCAGAGTAGCACTCACGTAACTAACATTCATGAAAGCCAGCCTGACCAATCAGTCTCAAAAAAAACTCTGTTATCCTATTATTAGTAAGCTAGAAAGTAAGAATATAATGCAGGTAGAAAGCAAGATACAAACTAAATACTCGAACTGAAACATAATAAGAACAGAACAAGGAATTATTGCTAAGAATATGCATTAAAATCAGGAGCGATGTGAATACCAAACAGCTGCCGCTTGAGATCCTCTTGCATGGTGTCATTGTTACAAACAAAGATGTATCCCCCGAGAACTTCGTTCCTTGGCAGCATCTCTGTTGAGGGTAATGTCTTGAACCTCTTATCAGCAATGTTATTGTTGTTATTGCTGCTGTTGTTATTGTTGTTGGCTGAATTGCTGTTGTTGTTGACGTCTTTGGAGCTATTGATATTAGCATACTTGCTCATCCCAGTATTCATCTTGAAGTTGTTGAAAGTGTTGATATTGCTTTTCTGGTACACCATGTTCATATTGTTCATGTTGTTTGTGTTGTTCATGTTCATGTTGTACATACTGTTTCCGATGGAGCTCTTGACTGGTACCTCGTTCATCCTGAGATCAAGATTCATAAGACCAAGATTCAGACTTTCAAATTTGTTATCCTCTTGAAACCCAAGCCTCTCCCAGGATTTGGCTTCCACTGGGTTCCTGGAGTAATCAAGGTTGTTTGTTTGGTCACGGTTCGTTCTTGTGAGCTCGGCCAGTTTTGAAGTCATGGCAATCCATTGACGATCTTCAGTGACCTTTGAATGACTCCGAAACTCGTCTCCTAATTGCCAAAGATTGTCCATGTCGAGAAATGCCTAATAGAAAGCACAACATCTTCCAGATAAATAATAGCAGCGATAAAAAATCACCAAAAGCATTCCATTATTTCATTGCTAAAGATGAAAAAAGAGGAAGGTCGAAAGTTTTTTTAATTAAATAAACTAAAAAAACCAATCAAATATGTGAGGCAATACCAACAAGAAAGAAAGCTTGAATTGTTGCCCATTATACCAACATAACCAAACTTTTAATCTAAACATGTTTTCATAAAGAAAGAAAATGCTAGGGATCAAAAAAACAAAAAGAAAACAAAAAAGAAAACAAAAAAGAAAACCCCACAAAAGAGAGAGTTCGAATAGAAACATGCTCGTGGAGAAGCAAACAAACCAAGCTTCAGAACTTTCAATCACAGTATACGAAGATAAACCTTCTTTGAACAGCATTTTCAGTTGAAAATGCTGAATTATTGGGATCCAAATGTCATAAAAACATATCTCTATTTCATACTAAGGATCGTAAACATAAATAAATAAATCATATGGATCTCAGAGAAAAAAAGAGAGATAATAACTCCAGTGGACACAGAAACATGTTTATAGAAATAGACACATATCAATTATGATTCAACAAAGAGAACATGTACTTATATGATTTATACTGCTTCTGTACAAAAAGAACCTGCAGGAATACAGGCCATAAGGAATAAACAGGCAGTAAACCGAGGACTCAGCCCATGACCATATCCCATTCTTAATGTAATATAACCAAGATTCTTGCTCACCAACATGAACAAAAACTAAATTATATATATTTATTTGTCCAAAATTGAGGGATGATCCCAATGGAAGAGAAAAACACAGGAGGATCTGATTTTGCAGCAAAATAAACGTCTAATAAGTACAGAATACATCAAATTAAGGTTTCAGCTGACCTACAAAAGGAAAGAACATAGAATCTAAGCAAGCATGCAGTCAAAACATTAATTTGGGAACCCTACGTCAAATTTAATGCAGCATCTTTCTAAAAGAAGGAGGAAATTACATGGATAAAAGAGCTACAGCTACTAAAAAAAACTCAAATTTTCCAATGAAAACCGAGAGGGAAAAAAATACCGAGAGATCAACTTAAACTCGTACTCCAATTAACTTACAGAAAGAAAACGCTAACTTCCAAATCTCCCAGCAAGCCCCAATTCCAAATAAAACCAGTTGTATTAACCCAAAAATAAAAAGTTGAGATTTTGATAAGAGAACAAGCATCAAAACAGAAACTTTCACTGACCTTAGGAATCGCTGAAGAGAATTGAGCAAACCCTAGATTTTTGGGAGAGCAGTAAAA